TCTTCTTCAATTACGACCGAAATTACAAAGATCAAATAAATAAAGAAGATTATATTTGTTTACAAAAGTAAAAGCAAAGAAATCGTGCGTTTTTTTTTTCTGTAAAGACTAAAAATAAAAATGGAAGGTTTATAAAGGAAAAAGAAGATCAAGCGTTAAAAAATAAAAGAAAATAAAAATAAAATAGATTTTCGCAGGTTCGAGAAAAAAAATTTTTGAGAGGAAAAGATCGCTACTATGCTAATATTATTGATGATGCTATTGTTGTTTAGCTTTATTGCAGCTGTTTTTTTGTTTTTGTTATTGTTGAAATGTTTTTTTTTTTATGATAATGATTCCTGTTTAGGATATAATTTAAAAAAAAAAGAAAAACGGAAAAAAAGAGTTCTCTCTCTTCTTCTTCAGATCCAAAGAAGAACAAATGAAAACCACAACTTCGGTGATCGCCACATCCACATATTATATTTACCTTATGTTATATGAATATTATTTCTTTTTTTAATTATCTTTTTAATTAATATGTGTTGGGCAATTATATGGGGATTTGATTTGATTTGATTTTTCTCCGCTGACCTAGGTTACTTAATTTATGAGACCGACTCAATTAGTCGGTTAACAGCCTTATTTATATCTTGGAATAGTTGTATTGCTTAACAATGGGAATACAAAATGTGTTAAAAATGATGAGTCAATTATTTTCACCTCTTTTTTATTTTTAATAAGCATTGCCAAAGCTTAAAGATCACTAATTCTTTGAGAGAATTAAATGATACATTAAGCATTTTAATTTATCCTATATTTAACTACTTGCCAAATATGTACAGTTAAAGTAGTAATTATTAGGGTTAATAAAAATGGTCGAAAGATGGTTAAGTATGGTTTTGGCAAAGCTTGCTTGCTTGCTTTCCTTTGGGCTTGGAGGATTGGTCTGCAGTTGAATTGGAGTTGGTAATTTGGTGACAAAAAAAAGATGGGTGACGTGGCTGAATGAGGAGATTTTATTAGCTTTATGCGAGGTGTAACCACCAAAAGCATGTGACCCGGCTCAACTCAATTGGACTCAAAAAGCGGTTCTTTCGGTTTGACTTTCCTGGCTCTGTACTGTGTACCAACACCTGCTTGTACCAATTTTTGCCAAATATGTATGTAAAAAATTTTCACTTTCTTTTATTTTTTCTTCTAAACTAGTATTAATGTAAATAAATAAACGATAGTAGTAATGTAAAGTCTGTGTAATCAAAGCCAATTCCTAGCTGTTGTTTCACACAGTTGCTTCCACGACTGCAGCTCTGTTCTAACTGTCAATTTAATATTACTTTCAAAAGTTGCAAATTGCAGGCTGCCCATATTTCATTGTCATTCACATTGAGAAAAAAAAAATCACAAGATTCAGAGCTACATGTTGGCTAACACACGAGATTGAAAATGTAACTTTAACTCTGATGGTTAAAAAAAAAACACAGAAAAAGAAAAATTATGTAGTATAATCTAAGCGAGGGTGACATTTCTTTTTTCAGTGCATTTCTATTTTTGATCTTTTCAATCCCATTAAATGATGTTTCCAATGGAACAGGCGTATCAATTATTTCTGCAAAATGTGGAATCATCTTCCTTTGTTAGATTTGCTGTAAAATACTTAATGAATCTACGATTCTAGATTGGCATGGAAATTCAACCTAGACCAATTGTAATAATGATACTACAGGAGGGATCGTACAAGGGATTAGGTGTATATGTCACGTAAACAATGATGGCTTTCGATTTATATTAGTTGGAAGCTTTTGTCTTGCTAGGTAGGTTTTTCATAGGCACCAAGTGTATGAAATATGAGACATCGACCCAAGCAATTGGTTGTCCAGGGGCGGTGGGAACGGAGTTGGTGGCTCAAAGCAATGTGGCCTGTCGCTGTTGGCTGTATTGAGTATCTAGTATATCTTTATAAAGGAAGCTTGAAGCTGGGGTATATACTGCCATGTGCTCAATTATTGAGCTCATTAAATAATTTTAGATTGATTATACATTTTTAAGGCTTTTAAATTTTCCCCTCGTTCAGCACGTGCAAAATTATTGGGGGTCACTAGTCAATGAATTGACGATTTGACATGTATGAAGTATGATGCTACTGCTACATGGAATTCTCCGAGTTACTTAATTTGTTTCACATATCCGGTTACAGGGTCGATAGCTTTTAGTCAACTTTGGAAATTTTGATTCATAAAATTTGCTTTGCACGAGTTTCAGGTGGAGTGCAATTTAAAGAGTTTAATTAGCTTCTACTTTGGGTTGCAAATTAGGCCAAGTAAAGCAAAACATTTGCGTTATTAACCGACCATCGTGTCGAATGGCGTACATTATTGAATGGATTCTAGAGGAAGCATCATGATTGCTAGGGCATTGCTTAGACGACTAATATTTCTTTATTCATGATGTGGGCTTCCTGCTTAGCCACGACCCAAGCTTTTGCCTGCCAAAACAATCGGGTCCAACTTGCAAACCGGACTCATTGGAAAACCATTGACCTTGCAAATTCCTGAAGAAAGTTAGGAAACCATCGTGCAAGGCCATGCCCGGGGAATTACTAAAAGTGGTCTGTTTCTGGGGAATCAACTATATCAGCAATTGTAAGCTTTTCCTTGTCGAAGAAGAGATCTTCGAGGTTGTATGGCCCAAGAGACGAAGGATGTCCGCTCCATAGAGCCTTTGCGAATTGCTCATGGATTCTCTCAGTCGGATGGAAAGAGTCCCACCAGACATGATCATCTGCATTGTCGCACAACTGGTAGTCTTTGACATTCTTTGTGCCTCCGCAGGTGAAAACACCCCCATATGGTCCGGTTCCACAGCAAGCATTTACTCCATCCTTGAAACCTGTACGATGAAAGGAGAATGATTTATGATTAGAGTGATGAGGAACAGGACACATGGGAGTAGTGAATGCTTGCTAAATTAGAAAAAACACGTCATTGCACTCGGATTAAGCATGCTCACCATACTTTGAGGGATTAATTATTCTGTCGTCTAGCCATTCATAGAAATTAGAATTGCAGTATTTGAGGCCTGGTAATATATGTTCAAGGTTCGTGAGGACAGCGTTTAAAGCATCGTTATGTGCTCGTGCAAGGGCGCTAGCTGCTTCAAGACATTTGCCTTCGTTGTCTTTGAAGTTCAACGCTCTAAGGGCTGGTAAGCAGCCTAGTGGAGACAAGCTTAGAAAACCAAATTTTCTTGCTCCTTTCTCGTACAGCACCTGATTTAAAAAAAAAAAGAGTCACGAATGGTGTTAAAATACTAGCCAAGATACTGGCTAGATTCAGAGCGAAGTATTGCAGTTAATAAGCTTAATTAGGGTGTGGGGGGCGCTTACCTGGAGTGTTTGGGTCAAGTTCCCGATGACCATTCCAACATACGCTTCAGGAGGATAAGATTCTTGCATTTTTGGATTACCTAGATAGCCACCCATATAATCATTGCTTCCAATACTGATGAAATAAACTGCTTCTGATATAAGCTCTTTCGTCTGTGCTTCTCCTAACTTTTCTACTAATGATTTTTGCACCTCCTCAAAATTCTTTAGTTGTGTAGGAAGATCAATCACCTGATAAAGAGCAGAATAACATGTTCAAAGAAACAATAGAAAAATCTGTGTTTTTTTCCCTGACCCGATGCAGAAATAGAATCCTGAGTTCCTTACCAAGCCCTGATTGGTCTCAGGAAGAACCCCACCCCCACCTGAGGCAAAGTTAGCACCACTGGTGAAATCAGCAGAAGGTTGTAGAAATGGAGGAATCAGAGGCAACTTTGCATACTCCGCTGCAAATGCAAAAGGAAGCAAGTTCATGGAGCAGTCAAAACATTATTACAAACCAAAAAATCCTCTTATAACCGTGATCTCATACCAACATAATCCACTATCACACGACCATCTGAAAATCGCCCTGTTGGTTCTGCAAAGAAGCCATTCTGCCCATAGGGCTTGTAACATGCTCTGTTTTCAGGGATGGTGTTGATGTAATTGTTGTTGCCAGGATCGACGGTAGAGTCTCCAAAAATGAACAGCGCACTACCCTTCTCTAACGGGGTACCAAAACACCTGGAATTAGTCGACAATAATAGAATTACACAAACTTTGAAGAAATTTATGTAGGAGATTAGCTTTGCCATTGGGAATCTATACGGATTATGTCAAAGATTACAACTTTATATATCTTAACCTTGATAGCATTTAACTTTGGCAGGCGGTATCTTCAATGTCTTGCCGCGTCTCTTTCTGAAAGATGCAACAGCTTCCAGTTCAATTAGATAGATGTTACCTTGCAATCATCATCATGGAGTCGGTCCTTACCCTTAGCTAATCAAAAATAGAATATTAGAAAGATAATTCTAAGTCCTTTTCCCCCTCTCTTTCTTTTCGCCGTCAAGTCCACAAATTCGATGTATAATTAATATATAATAAATAATAAATTGTGTTAGCTATGGTGTTCCTAAAATATTCGATTAATTTAGAAAATTACCACTATTGCTCACAAGTAAAATGTAATTTAAGTATCCATGATTAAGACACATATTAAGCTGTAGTTTAATGATGATCACATCCGAAAAATTTAAGTTAAAATAAAAAAAAAGGGTGACGAATTATAAGAGACAGCATCTGCGTACAAAAGGACATTTTAGAATTTGGATTCAAGCATCAGATTTGAAAGCAAAACGCTGCGTTTGGACGAAGAAAACAAGTGGCGCACTGGCGGGTCTGCTCTTCAACTAACCGACCCGAAGCCCAAATGCCCAATATTCAATTGCGAGGGTATTTGTGTAATTTAATACTCCTTCATTCCTCTCAGCTCAATCCAAACCCGAATTCGCTTCTAAGAGACCGACGTCTTCATTCCCCTAAAACCCTAACTAGAGAAAAAATTTAAAATTCGAAGCCCTAAACTCCTGTAATCGTCGATTCACTGGCTTCAAATCCTGATTATTTGTAACAAACTGAAAGCTTTTAATCAATGTCTTCCTCCAAGAAATACTACAAGGAGAAAATTGCTCGTCGCAAGTAAGTATTCCTCGCTTTCTTAGCCCTTCACTTACATTTGAAGCGTCAGGAAAAATGAATTTTAGAGGCGGTTTTTTCGATGAATTTTGGTGGGATAGAATTGAATTGGTCATTTGTGCAGAGAGGAGAAAGCGGAAGAACCAGAGCAGCCAAAGTACAGAGACAGAGCTAAGGAGCGAAGAGAGGATCAAAATCCAGATTATGAGCCAACTGAATTAGGTTCTTTTCATGCTGTAGCTCCTCCTGGAACCGTCGATCTTCGGTGAGATTCTGCTTTTTTTTTTTTAATTTTAATCCATAATTTGATGCAGCTTTTGTATTGCATTTTACATATTTTTTAGTTGCTTTCGTTCTAATAATTGTTTTTGTATGACTATTTTTAGGTCAGCTGATGCTCATAAGATATCCATCGAGAAGAGCAAGTACCTCGGAGGTGCGTGGCTTCCAGCTGTTATAACTTGAGAAATTTGATAATTTAATTGAAATGATTCACATAATGTATAGTTTTTGGCTTTGCTGGGGGAAATTGGTGCTGTTGCTTAACTGCTAGCTGTTTTAATTGATGTCTGCGTCTGTGTTGTTCAGGTGATGTGGAACACACGCATTTGGTCAAAGGGTTGGATTATGCTTTGCTTAATAAAGTGAGGAGCGAGATTGATAAGAAGCCAGATGCTGGAGAAGATGGTGATGGAAAGTCAAGGTAATTAAATTTAATCCGATTGCATGTCAAAGGAAACCAATGTATGGGTTTTCTATGAGCTAGTACAAAGCTTACAGATCAGCCTTATGTTTAGCATCTTCTTATTTACCGTATGAGCTAAATATACTGTCATTTTATTAGAAGAGCATCGACTTTTTGAGCCCTAAGAAGTCTTATTAATATGAAGTACAATGTTCAGTTCTGTTAGTTCATGTCCTAGGATTATACTTTTGTATGAATTAATGGCCTAAGTTGTCTGTTAATTGTGTAACTAATAATCTTGTAATTACATTTTTAACAAACCATTGTTTTTCTGGCAGAAAATCGAAGGAAGACCAACAAATATCATTTCGCACAGCCACTGCTAAGGTGCAACAACTTCTTCAGATGTTGTGTTGTGGAATAATGTTTCCAATTTTTTTTTCAGAAAAATTTGTTTGTTTGTTACTTTGGAAAACTATTCAATATGGATACCTCTCTCCTTTTCTCAGTCGGTGTATCAATGGATAGTGAAGCCTCAGACTGTTATGAAGACAAATGAAATGTTTCTACCTGGTCGAATGGCATTTATTTTTAACATGGTAAGATCTAGTGCGTTTTTCTATTGTGTTCTAATTATTTTAAGAGGGATGCTCTGGGTACTTTTGCCACGGATGAACCTTGAGCATTCACTGGTGTGATTGGTCCATGTTGACAAGCATACTTGCACACTATCATGTTCTGGGAACTGCATATCCTGAAAGGCATGACTGCCTGCATCATTTTCCTTATCGTATAACTCTTCCACTTAATATTTTGGATCTTCATCTAGTTTCACTTGCTGCTTACAACTCAAATGATTGTTCAACTTTGAAGAGAGAAAAAGATATATTTTAGATACTTCATTTGAAGTTACTTGACGAGGATTTTAGACTTTAATTGTGCCAACTTTTCATGAATAGCTTTGTTGAGTGTTCGTAATTTTAATTCTATAATTCCAATTTCCTGACCTAATTCTTCCCCTTATTTGTTCCAGGAGGGTGGATATTCAAATGACATTCCAACCACCTTGCATAGGAGTAAAGCTGACTGTCCAGTGCCAGATGTCTGTATATCCTCTTTGGGAATTTTCATTTTATGCTAGATGGTGTCTCTGATTTTGGTTTTATATCTCTTGTGCAGGAAATGGTTACTGTCAGTGTTGACGGTTCTGTGCTAGATCGAATTGCTAAAATTCTGTCATATCTTCGCCTTGGATCATCCGGGAAGGTTCTGAAGAAGAAAAAGAAGGAAAGAGATGCCAAAGGTGTTTGCTATATTTGGTTGTCTATTCTAAGTTGGAGGCTAACTTTCTAAGATAGGATTAGCTGTTGGATCAACAACTGTATTGTCGCATATTGTTTTTATTTGTGATCATATGGTTACTTTTCTGTTTTTCGCTTTTAATATATATCTTTTTATTTGTATAACTAATATTTTCATTTTTCTCATTTTAGGGAAGGTTTTGGCTTTGGGAAATGAATATGATGGAGAGGACAAACCATCAAAGCCTAATGGTGGAATGTCTAATGGTAGAACTGAAAAGGAAATTTTGCCACCTCCTCCACCCCCTCCCAGGAAAAATTATCTTGATTTGAGAGAGAAGCAAGGCCCAACTGTTGCTAGAGCAGAAGAGGATGACATATTTGTGGGGGATGGTATTGACTATGATAGTCCTAGGAAGGACATGAACCCAAGCCCTCTCTCAGAGGATATGGAAGAGTCGCCTCGACACAAGGAACGAGTTTCATATTTTGCTGAACCTGCTTATGGTCCAGTGCAACCCTCTGCTGCTACTCAAGAATGGCAAGAACTGGTAAGTTTTTTCTAGATATCATTCATCCTTTGCTGGATGCAGGGGAAACAGATGTGCAAGAGGTCAAAATTGAAGTGTTATAGAATATGTCTGGAGATCAAGTAGTTAAAAATTAAGCTTGCAATTGATGTTTAGCTACTGAATTTTTGTTAAAATTAAGTTCTTAAGTCCTTTTGCTGAATTGTTCTGTATTCTGTTTTGACTGTTCGCTTTCAGAGTGGATATGATGCCTTGCAAACACAGGCTTTGGCTGGTGGATACCAGGGTGAGTGGCAGGACTACCAATATGCTGAGCAAATGGCTTACCCTGAGCAATACCTTCAGGCCAACATGCAAGGTTATGATGTACAAGCAGGATTGAACATTCCACAGGATCCACGGTTCATGACTCAAGAAGAGAAGGATCGAGGATTGGGATCTGTGTTCAAGCGGGATGATCAAAGGCTTCAACAATTGAGGGAGAAGGATGCTCGTGAGAAGGATCCAAATTTCATATCTGAGAGTTACTCTGAATGTTATCCTGGGTATCAGGAGTACAACCGAGAGATTGTTGACAGTGACGATGAAGATGACTTGTCGAAAATGGATATGGGAGGACGAGTAAGCTTTTTTTTTTACCCCTAAATTGAAAGTTATTCTTCATTTATATTTGGTCTGAATTGATAGTATTGATGGTGATTATAATGTTGAAATAATTTGAACAGGCAAAGGGTCGACTTCATAGGTGGGACTTTGAAACAGAAGAGGAATGGGCAACATACAATGAGCAGAAGGAAGCAATGCCAAAGGCTGCTTTCCAGTTTGGTGTGAAGATGCAAGATGGAAGGAAGACAAGAAAGCAGAACAAGGACCAGAAGCTCAACAATGAGCTGCATAAGATTAATAAAATACTGGCTAGAAAGAAGATGGAGAAAGATTCAGGTGGTGAAGGTGGACATCATAACGATGATGTGCAACCTGGAAAGAAGCTTCGGATCTCAGGTTAAAAGTTTCAGTTCCTTTACCAGAAAGGTGAAAAGCTAATAGTTCGTTGGGCAGATGTGTGATTTCTGCGACGAATGTAAACTCATGCAACATGGATTCAAAGTGGTGAAATGCCAAATTAAGTTTGGAAATAGGTGTTGTATTAGAACTGTGGTATGATTGCTTTTATACCATTAGTGCTTTTGACGTACTGATGTTCGGGAAAAAGGAAACACTCGTTCGGCCGCAGTTTGAGTGGGAAAATCTTCTTGCCCTTTGGGTCTGACAGTGGTGGATCTTGACTTCTAGTTGTATGACGTCACCCAAATGGAAGACAGCCACTGTACTATTTATTATTATTATTATTATTATTTCCTTCCTATGTAAACAAATGCATTAATGCATTAATGGAAGACGGTCGCATTAACTACATTTTACTTCTTTTTCCTTTCTTGTTTGAAAGTCAAAAGAAGTTAAACAAAAGGTTATTATGCACTAAATAAGGTCAGTTGCAGGGTTCTATTCAGTTTGAGAAAAAACTATTTATCCATTTTTTTTTATTGCCATACAGGCACTATTTTGGAAAGAAATCAATTCCTGACCCGATGCCTTCTAATGAATAAGACTGATAAAGCCTGAATCGGTCGCAACTCATCCACAGAACACATTTTCCCCGATGCATTTTCAACAGGATTTGATATGAAACTGTGTCCTTCTAGAAAGGGTAATATAATGCGTTATTAAATCAAATTTCAGAGGCAATATATTGTGTCTAAGAGGACACTTTTAGAACTTAAATATTCAAAGAGAAATACTTTCATTTTTCTCATATATGCCTATAGACCAGTCCATTGACCGAGTTCCCCGCCTAAGACCGCAGACTTCTACTTCCTACAGATGACCTTCCATCTCCACAACTAAATGATGGGCAAACACATGAAAACAGGTGTAGGGAGTCATCTGTGGATCGGCAGGCAAAACAAGAATAATCTAAATCAACAACATAACGGGAGGTTTGATATGATAGAATAAATTTATTCACAGATCCTAAAAGAAAAGTATGATCGGGCGCATCTAGGATTCTAACACTTCCACTCTATATATTCAAGTACAACAGACCATTGTCATTTAGATGGTTCCAAGATGACGGCTTTATTTCATGTTACGCCGCAAGTAGTGACACACATGCAGATTTTAGCAAGCTATTATCTTCCTCTTCAAGCATTATTTGCTGAGCTTAATATAAACCAAATATAATAGGATTTTGATACCTCCTTGCTTTTACATGAAAAGCAATTAAGTAACTAAATATATGTATATGCCATGTCATTTTTCCTTAATGTAACAAATGCGGATGTACAATTGCGCATCAACCCATTCGTGGAAATATAAGAGTAAAGACTTTTTAACAAATCAAAAGACTTGAAAATTTAAGTTATCTTGATGTCTCGTAGAAGCCGAGCAGCCATTGAGCCGTATCTTCTTGCTTCCCAGTCACTAAGCTTGCCATCAGGAAGCCTTGTCACTTGGAGACAATCTTCCTTTATAACTTCACCATCCAAATCATCTACCCCAGTACCATTTCCACAGTTCTGTCCCTCTTCTCTATCTGTTTTTCTTGTTTTAACCTCATTAACTTGCTGGTCAATCCCTTGAGTCTTCTTGTCCAAATTCTCTGCACTAACAGCATTGTCTGGCTTCTCTGCAGTAACAGCTGGGGTCTTTAGTCCCATAATGAAAAGTTGAATACTTGGATGTTGGTACTTACTGTCCATCTGCATGGGATGAAGTAGAGGTTAAACAACTACAGCGAGGGACAGAATCTCATTACAATCAAAATTAGATGAATATCTTATCTGAGGCTCAAACCTGCAGATAAAACCAAGAAAGGAGGAGTTTGACATCTATTTCATTCAAAATGAAGGATGACCTCCATTGATTTGGTCATCAACAATTCAATAGTTATTAACCAAGAGTGATTATCTCAGCTATACTCAGACCAGTTTCTGAGTTAATAATAAAGCACAACATATAATAGATCTTGAGTGTAAAAATGTGTACCTTGGCTCTTGGAACAATCTTCACTTCAAAGAACTTTTTCCAGGTCTGAAGCATTTGCTCATGGACACTAGTACAACGGATCTCATGACCCAACTAAAAGGAAACATTTAAAAACGAAAAAATGTGTATTAATAACAAATTTTCCTATTAACAATAGAAACAAATTCCAATGGAAAATTGGAAACAGTATAATACCATAATTGTGGTTTTGGGGCCTGATAATGCAATTATTGTTTTCAATAGGGGTCCCAAAAGATGCTCTGCATAAACCTGAAAAGGTAAATAAGCATCAGTATCGTATTTGCAACTGTCCTAGATACAACGTTATGTTCCTATAACAAGAAAAGCAGTACTGCATGAATGACATCAAATCAATGGCTTACTAGCTCTGATGAGTTGGGATATTTGCAGTCCTACGGCTAAGACACGTACTGGCTTTTTATTACAGATTCAAAAGTTTCAGCAAGTAACAAATGAATGATTAGATTGCCAATAAAAGGTTCTGCACCTTACTACATAAGGATAGAATCACCACAACAATATCAGTAATTTATCACTGTCAACTGGACCAGTACTACAACACCTGAGACATTTTTTCAGCAAAAATGTATACTTCTGGAAAACTTACAACATCTGTACCAATGATGTAGTCAAATGGCGGAGCAACGGCTTTTATATGATCTTCATTTCCCCAGTCCAACTCTGCGACCCGGATCGATCCAAATGAATCTAAAAAAACATAATAATCCCATGAGATAAAAGTACCATTCTCGCATTCAATTTCCCCAGTAGCATTGCTTTTGGTAGCAGAAAGGAGCGATCCTCTATCTGATTGTTAAATAACTCTTCTACTACTAAAAGCCATATCATTTGGTCAAGATTAGTTATGTCACTTTGGTGGGCAAAAGGAAAAATAAATGAACTAAATTATACAAATGAATCTAAGTTGCCCAAATCCTATAAACTAAATAAAAACAGCTGCAAGAAAGCACACCTGAATTAGAATTCATCTGCATGATCCTTGAAGTATTGCGTTCTATGTTTCTCCTCAACAATGACACAACCTCGATTTGGTCTGTGGAAACTACATCACATCCCAGCAATGCCATTCCTGGAAAGTGCAGTTGAGTCGGAGTAAGCAATGTCCTACCAAATAATGCAGGGTCATAAAAGACCTTCTCTACAAACTGACCAAATGTACTAAATGCACAGAATTAGAAACTGACCAAACCCAGCTACTCCACAACCAGCCCCTAGTTCAATAACACGCCTTCCTTTAAGTTTTGATGGGCAAAATCTTCCCTTTCTGCAATTCTTTTCCTGAAACATGTAAGAATTCAGCATCATGAAGTTGGAAACAGAAAAATTGGCAGAAAAATAAAACATAAGCCTGAGACCTGCAAGTTCAATAAAAATAAATGAAAAGGAAAGGCTTGCCCCCACTTAAACACTAAATATGCCATGGGGTTTAGATGACAGTATACTCATTTCAGGTCCTACACAAAGTTGTTTGAAATTATAAAAAGAGGCCCCATAAAAATGGGTTACAAGGTTAAAAGTGTTAAGAAGGAGAAGTAGATTAACAGTGTTCTGCAACCCATGTAAGGTTGACAACATAAACTCAACTCAAACAAAGGCCTAAACATCAAAAACTTTAGTCGCAGAAATGCAATTAAAGAACAATAAAAAGAATTAAAATCAATACCAGAAATTTGGCAAACACCATTGATGAGTCCCAAACTGTTGTTCCTAAATGTTTGGAATTAGGATCCTGACACAATGAGGAAAAATTTAGGAGCAAATAAATATAGCTACAACGACAAGTAAAGCCTTGAAAAAAAAAAAAAACTGCACCATGCAGTGATTCTCGGTAACAGAATCACAGAACAAACGAGCATGAAGATGCAAGATTGAAAACCATGAAGTCAAACAATAATCTAAATATGCAACTACAATTTTCTTCCTCGGCCACACCAGTAAATGCAGGGAAACTTTTTTCCTCTAGCTTGTTGTCCACAAACTTGACTAGACTTTCTCGCTTTGTAAGTAGCACGAAGGTACATTCTTCGAGAGTGGAAAAACAAGAAAGAAAGAAAGAACAGAAGTTCACTCATAACCATTCCTAGAAAGAACTTACTGCATCAAACAGATAGTTAGCAAAAGAGTGAGACTATGAATGAGCTAGAGTTCATCCTAGTTAGATATCAGCTTCAAGCAGAGAATCATTCCATCCTTTTAAAGATAAATTGTATTAACAAGCATACCATCTCAAAAAAGATAATTAATTGACAGAATAAGCAACCTCCCAAGAGCAATAATAACAAATTACCTGGGAGAACTGCAGTTGATGACCCAATACTTCAAAAGTAATTACAGACGTGCTTGGAGAATTCAACCTGACACAAATATTTACAAAATATATATAAAAAAAAAACTTTTTTTGTAAAGTTACAGCAATTACAGGAAACTAAAGATGAAAGATACCTGTCAGCCTCCATTTGATCAACGTTTTCAAAGAGAAGCAAAAACCCAACACACGAACTTTAAACTCAAGACAACCTTAAACTTGCATATACCTGTTACCAACTACATTAGTTCTTGAATCTTTGATTTCCGCGAGAATCAAAGTTCCTTTTCTTTTCGGTGCGTGCGTTTCAGACCCAGTTATGTAGAGGAAATTGTGCTTCTATGGTTTTTCATTTGTTTTTTCCTTTTGACTCCCACGCTTGTGAAAGGGAAAGGGTTCGTCCAGTCCAATCGCAGCCTAAGCAGCCCACTCACTGATCCAAGAAAAATAAATTGGGCTTTATAGACCCAAACTATCACTTCAAATTTAGGAAAACCATAATCTTTTATGGCCCAGGGGAATTTAGATCTAAACGTGGCCCATTCCAATTCCCAGCTCATAAGAGTGTTATTTTGTCATATTTCCCTTTTTATTTTATTCGTTCAGGTTTCGTGCATTCGGCATTGTCCTCTTTCTATCCTCTTACGACTTCCACCAGAGAAAAAAACTCACGAAAAAACCCGTCCTTCCTGCTTCTTCTTCTTCTTCTTCTTGTTTATGTCGTTAAGATTAAAGATTAAAGATAAAAGCTTCGAAATTAAGTCTTCCAATTCGATACCTTAATTTCCATATGCATAGGTATGAATTTTATCCCAATATTTATTTTTATTTTCATTTTCAGCCTTCGAACAATAAATTAAGATGAAAAAGTAACGTCTTGAATCCCTAGTCGGAAGCAAAGTTGTTTTCTTTTGGTTGCGTGAAACAATCCCGTTTTAATTATGGCATAGGAAAAGCAAAACATTTATACTATTAGAAATTTATTCTTTGCTCTGTTTTATGGTGATGAATTCGTGACTTAATTTGCAATTATTTTGTTATTTAGGGGATTCAATTAGCGGCTAAGAGGGGTATCTATTTTTGAATTGCTGTGAAATTTCTTGTTGAATTTAGGAATTAGCTTCTTGGTGGTGTGGTTGCATGGCCAGCGTTGAGGGTAGGGTCTCGTATTCCTCGCTTTCAAAGCTAGAAAAGGAGAATAATAACGCATATCAATTTGATGATGATTATAATGATCCTGTTTGGCCTGTGCCAGACGACAAAAGTATTGTCCCGTTAGGCTCGAAGTCAATGAAAAAAGATCACTTTTATCAGTTTCCGGCTGAATCTGATGATTTTATTGATGGAGGATATGATTCCGGTGATGATGTCTATAAATCAATGCGGAATGGCTTGCATCCAGAAGTGAACTTGAAGAATGTGTTGAGTGGGTTGTTTGCAATTGTAACTGGGCGTAATAAAGGCCCCACGAGTGTTTCTTTGAATCAGCAGTACCAAAGTTCTAATGTCTCATTTTTGGGGTCTGGAAAGAATGGAGATACCTATCTGCACTCCTCGGTTTATATACCGAGTGCACCACCACTTCTGGAGCCAAGTGGGATAAATTATAATGCATATAAAGAGGTGTTGGAAGCTGAGCCTCCAGAGTGGCTCCCTGATAGTTCTACCACGGTTTGCATGCAGTGCGATGCTCCCTTTACTGCAATTACACGTGGCAGACATCATTGCCGGTTTTGTGGAAGGATTTTCTGCAGAACATGTTCTAAGGGAAGGTGCTTGCTTCCTGTTAAATTTAGAGAAAGAAATCCCCAGAGGGTCTGTGATTCTTGCTATGATAGGCTTGACCCATTGCAGGGTGTTCTTATTAATACCATTAGCAATGCTGTGCAAGTAGCAAAACATGATGTCATGGATTGGACGTGCACTCGAGGTTGGTTGAATTTGCCTGTTGGTTTGTCCATGGAACATGAGATCTACAAAGCATCCAATACCTTGAGAAGCTATTGCCAGGTATGATCCTGATTTTCATTATTCATACAAGACGGTAGTTTTGTTTGTCTAAAACTATCATCAACCTTGTGATTTTCTTCCCATCCCCCATGCTGTAATTCTTATTAGACAGTTCTTGTCTAGGTCCATAACTCCCAACTAGGTCAAATTTTCACGTGAATGGTTTTGCTTCAAGAAATCATCAACCACTATACATGCTATTTCTTTATCCAGTGCTTCACCTTAAATATCAAGTTGAGCTAATTTGTTGTATATTGTGGCTACATAATGGCTATATTTAGACACTTTGAGAAGCTTCCAATAACAGTTGTTGAAATGGACAGGTTGCTAGGTTGAATCCAGAGAGATCTATACCATTGGCGGTTCTGAAAGGAGCCAAAGGCTTAGCTATTTTAACTGTTGTTAAAGCTGGAGTTCTTGTTGCATACAAACTTGGGACTGGTCTTGTTACTGCACGAAGGTCAGATGGAACATGGTCTGCCCCATCAGCTATATTCTCTGTTGGTTTAGGATGGGGTGCTCAGGTAAACTTTCGATTGAGAAAAATATATGCCTGACCTAGCAGATTATACATATCTAGGCAGCTAAGGGTCAACTTCCTTCCCAGTTTCAAAGTAATTATATGTACAATCTATTAGCTAAATGTTATTTTTATGTGTTTTCCAGATTGGGGGTGAGCTCATGGATTTCATAATCGTGCTTCATGATTTGAAGGCTGTGAAGACATTTTGTAGTCGAATGCATTTTTCTCTTGGTGCTGGATGCAGTGCTGCTGCAGGACCTGTAGGGAGAGTGCTGGAAGCAGATCTTCGGGTGGGGGATCGAGGCACTGGCATGTGTTACACTTACAGTTGTAGCAAAGGTATTCCATGGTGCAATGTATTTGTACTCTTCTTGTGAATAGTTTGTCAATTTGCTAATCCATTCTGTTGCAAATCTTGCAGGGGCATTTGTTGGTGTGTCATTGGAAGGGAACATTGTTGCAACAAGAATGGATACCAACCTACGGTTCTATGGTGATCCTTATCTCACCACTGCTGACATACTACTTGGGACAGTGGACAGACCAAAGGCTGCGGAGCCCTTGTATGTTGCTCTGGATGACCTCTACTCTAGCCCACGTTGTTAGTTTTAACACCATTTGGGTATAGTATCTTGCTGCAGCTTGTGAAACAAGCAACAACTTTACATGGTGCAGTTCCTGCCCTGGAAGATCAGTGATTGTACAGCGTGAGGTTGCCTTTCATTGTTACGTGGATATGGACGAAGGAATATTGTTTCATGGACAAAAAGCTTTTATTCTCTCCCTTTTTCCATTTCATAAGCCTAATTTCGCATTGGATCTAATATGCATTTACATTTGTCAAACAAACCAGTCAATTACGATGTAAATATTCCTATTCTTACTTGTGTATATTCTGTATGGACAAATGTGATGGCTTTTGGAACTTTAGGCTTGTGTTCTTGATTCAATAATATGTATGGTGAGAAAGGCCACAAAGTTTAGCTGCCTATCTTTATTTTCCGTAGCCAATGCAGTCATTCTCGCTCGTAAGATGATGGTACTTGCTCTTTCTTTATATCAAATTACGAGTGGAAAAGCAAGTAGGAGGTCTCTTTTAAAATAAAATAGTGGCTAAAATCAAACTGTCATTCTTCCGAATGCCAGTGTCAGTCATAATAACAAGGTCCAAAGCTATATATCCGAAGGGGGGACATAAAATATACGACTTCACCTCATGTGCTAATTTTTTAGGCTTGGATGGGTCTTCACGAATTTTGTCAAGAAAGTAGCCCCTGCTATGAAGGCAGTAATTGCAATATATTTGTATCACCATTAGTATTGATACAAAGGATTTTTTTTGTTGAAAAAGTTGACAAATATATATATATTATTTATTTATTTATTGCTACCATAATAACATGATAATTCATAAGTTCAATGTCTTTCATAATTTATTCTACAAACCTGGATCTTCTTTGAATTATATTGAAATATTTCATAATATATATATTTCTTTGCATATACTATGTAATAACAGGGTTGTCTTTTCTTCTGTCCCCATTTGGTGTATTGATTGAGCTAAGGAAAACCAGTCTCCATGAGTCTCTTTCGAACGTTCAAGCATCGCATGCAACAAAGAATCAGTCTTAAATCAAAGTTGGCAGCTCTTCACATTTCTAGCAATGAATCAAGAAAGATGGGCAACAGGATGTGTAAGCTTCTGAATGTCTTATACAAAAAAGTTGAAACTGCATCCATTTTAAATGAACAAGAGAATTACTTCACGCCCTCAGATGATCTTGAGATAGAACAACAACACTCCTTGCATTCTGAAAATGACGGTGACACCCCAACTTATGTCTGCAAAATCTGTGTTGTGCCATAACCCCTGGATGGCCCTTTCAACGTCAAAGGTTGTGCCCACTTTTACTGCATTGAATGCACTATCAACTACATCGAATCGAAGCTTGAAGATAACGTAACCTTCATTCCTTGTCCAGTAACAAGTTGTCGAGGGCTTTTGGATCCTGACTTCTGCCATGATATTCTCCCAAGGGATTTGTTTAACAGATGGGGAAAAGCCCTCTGTGAATCTGCGGTCCTTGGCTCTGAAAAATTCTATTGTCCCTTAAAATATTGCTCAGCTCCGTTGATTAATGATGGGGAAAAGGCTATTAAGAATTTCCCTTGTCCCGTCTGCCGGAGAGAATTTTGCTTGCAGTGCAAGGTTGCTTGGCATTCAGGTATCAATTGCGCAAGGTTTCAGAAACTGGAAAAGCTTGGCGAAGGTGCAATGTCAGTCGATCTGGCTACGAGGAAGAAGTAGAGGAAATGCCCTACTTGCAATTACTATGTGGAAAAATCAGCTGGTTGCTTTTATGTCCTATGCAGCTCAGTAATTTAATTAGTGCATCTTAAGATTCTTCCAAGTTATCCTTAGAATGAATCGTTTACATTATCTGTGAAATTTATGTTTCATTGTGCAACTTTCATAATTCATACCTTTAATCTGTTAATATTGTTGGGTTTTATTCACTTGTCTTTCTATATATATTCATGACTGATCACAATTGATTTGTGAAGTAGAACAGGTATTGCTTTGTAATTATTATACGTTGTAGTTTGAGAGTTGCATCAGTAAATCCCTTCCCAGTTTTGGGCTCAATAGTTCTACCATGAATTTTTCACTCTTCCCATGAATGAGGTTCCTTAATTTGGCTAGTATATACTATTGATCTCCCCGCTTTTAGTTCCATGGATGCTTAGTCAAATTACCAGGCATTATTTTTCTTTGATTTCGACATATCAAACTACTTTGTGATCACTGCAGTCCACTCAAATATCTTTCTGGTGTGGGTATGCCTTCTGTTACAAGTGTGGAGTACGTGCAAGCCGCCATCTTTGCTTCAAACACCTTCGTTAGTTCCCATCAGAAGTTCCTCAAATGACTGCTTGTTGGGCTTATTTGATGTGAAGAGTTGTAATAATTGTACTCGATGATGAGAATGTAGCATTACACCCATGTCAGTTGAGAGAAACAGAAGCTGACACTTCTTTAGGTTCAGAAATTCTGAATTTAGCACTGGTTGATCTCTCATTGTTTACCTTTAAACTAATAATAGCAGCTCAGTTCAAGCACTAAAATTTCAGACTCTCAACATCTTGCCCTTCATTGAGTTTGAATAGAATATAAATATGTGAGGAAATGTTAACTTGGTTATGACTTATACATCAGCTTAAACTTAACTTCAAGTCATTTTTTTGTCTAGAAAGTTAGAACTTGACATGTCTTTGGAGATCAATTAAAATCAGAACAACTTGAAGTCCTTGTGCCAGACCTTATGGGGAAAGAGCAGGTAGTTGCAGATGCACCAATGAACACAATGCTTCGAAAGTGTTTGGAGTTTCTCAACTGAAGAAGACAAATGTATATGCATGGCAAAACAGAAATAGATGTTTCTGAGGAATTATGAACAGATTATCCTACATACAACAAGCAGGCTGCCCTTTATGAAAAAAAACTGTAATTAATTCTGTTCTTCATATCTTTCAGGATCAATAATTGATCCTATTGTTATTATAGATAACAAGCTATTGGAAACAAAATCCTACAGATTTTTTAGTATTTTCACTGTGTGAAAAATATATCTTTCATTTATTTTTTTAAAAATCTAAAATAACATATTACAATTTTTTAAGGAATATTATATATTACATAGTTAATTTCATTTCCCTTTTTATGAGCAAAAACCATTGATTATCATTAAGAATACTAACAAAAATGTCATGGACAGATATCCTCCTCTTGCTGTTACTATAGAACAAACTATAGGTTTGTAACAAAATCTTAAAGATATTTTGACTTTAGTGGATCTTATTAAGTATAAAGTAATTACTTTCGTTACTAAGTGAAAAATATAGCTTTATTTATTACTGTTATTAAACCTAAAGGAACTTAGGAGTATTATTTATTTATTTCATTTTAATGAGTAAAAAACGATTGATTATTATCACTAAGAATATTAAAAATATGTCATGGAGAGAATTCTCATGTGTTACTATAGATAACAATATATTAGACACAAAGTCTTACATATGTTTTAGTCTTTCACTAGATCTTGTTATAATTATCTTAATAAGATAGTTATTTTGATTATTGTTCGATAAATATATCCTCATTTACTTATTTTTTTAACGTAAAAGAATTTATTATGGTAAATTTTTACGAGTGTTGTTTATTTTATATTTAATTTCATTTATTTGTTTTTTTCATTTATCTACCTTAATAAGAATTTATTTCACATAATGATATCTTAAAATAGTATCTCATGTTTCGCAACAAATTCTTTTGAAATTTATTTTTGTCTTTTTTTTATTATTATTAAGAAAAAAGAATTCAAATTTTACTTTTTAAATAAGAAGATAATGCATCAATTAATAAATTAAATATTTAAATACTCAACCTTTATTATAATTACTATATGAAAAATATCTCGTCATTTATCTTTTTAATTGCCTTCTTATAAAAAAATATTATTAAATTATTTCAAGCTATTATTAATTTTATATTTAACGAATGTCTTATTTAATTATATATTTTTATGCAATGTTAAGAGATCAGTTTATTGATTAAAATTCTCAAAATAACACTTTAACCCATATTCATAAAGTTTATTCTAACATATGAAATGTAAAAGTGATTAAAAATATGCATATACTTTCAACAATAATAAGAATAATAGGCAAATATGATTAATTTTGCAAACAATTAACGGTGTAAGGATGATTATAATCAATGAATTGTTTTGTGCGTACTTTTATTGTTTGGAGTTTAAAGGAATACATTCAAAGATACTTTGATATTAATCACTTAAATTAGCCTAATAATATCTAATATACAAACAAGGTACTGAAAAGTACAAAAACCTAGGCCTACACAAGGGTAAGGTAGGACTGTCATAAAACAAGATAGCTTAGACGGTAACCAAAGGATTTTCCATCATTATTGTTCGATTAGAATTACACAGTTGGCACTGAATACGAGACTATCGGAGTGTGAAGTGTAACCCCAAGAGGCACAGCCATGAAAATCCCACCTCCCTCCTCAAAAAGAAACCCTGAAGAAAGACAGGTTCGAATTCAGAAAGCTTATACTGTCTCCACGATAACCATAAACGCGATTGATGAAGAAGCATCGGAAAAGAAGAGGAAAATGGAGAGGACAGATTTTCCTCAACAGGTTGAGGTTGTTGACCTTGAGACCGATTTGTTTTCTTTTACAGCCATTACAGACAAAGGCAACACTAAGAAAAACGCTATTTCAGTGGAACAGTACAGTGAACAAAGAGACATCCAACTTGCCATCAAGGCTTCGATGACAACCTCGGACGATAACTACATAGATCTCGACATTTACGATGATGATTTGTTCGTTCTTAACTTCGAGCCCCTAAAGACTCCTTCCAGAAAGAAGCGTGGAAAGAGAAAGAAACCCTTCAGCGATTGTTCCATAACTGAGCCTGGAGAGTCATCAAACTCCAAAGCCGTCGAAGACCCACCTTTTATCTGTGAAATCTGCATTGAACCAAGGCAAGCAAACGAGTCGTTTAACATCAAAGGTTGCTCCCACGCTTACTGTAAGGATTGCATGATCAAATATGTAGCTTCTAAAGTACAAAACAAGATTACAGCTATAACTTGCCCCGTGGCAAACTGTGAGGGTTTATTAGAACCTGAGTACTGTCGCAATATACTTCCAAGAGAAGTTTTTGATAGGTGGGGAGATGCTTTATGCGAGGCAACGATTTTAGGGTCTGAAAGGTTTTATTGTCCTTTTAAAGAGTGTTCCACGCTTTTGATTGATGATGGAGGACAGGCTGTAAGGGAATCGCAATGTCCTAATTGTAGGAGACTGTTTTGCGCACAGTGTAAAGTACCTTGGCATGCTGGGGTTGAATGTGGGGAATTTCAGAGGTTGCATACAGATGAAAGACAGAGGGAAGATATTTTGTTGATGAAGCTGGCTAAGGACAAGAAGTGGGCTAGGTGCCCAACATGTAGATTCGTTGTTGAGAGAACTGAGGGTTGTAGGTATATGAGATGCAGGTTAGTGTCGTTTTCCAGCTTCCCCTTTATTTTTGTTTCTCAAATCGATTAATCTATCAGTTTTGCAGCTTTTATTTGGTTCACTTGGGTATAGGCATCTGTAATTGTCTTAGTTCTGTGTTGATTGCTAGTGTTTGAATGGGGAATTTTGATGGCATTATCTGTTTGCTGTATCTTTGAGTTTGAGATTAATACGTTTTTTAAAAACAACTGGTTTGTAATTCTGCATTGCTTTTCCATTTTTCAACAAAAGAATCTATTCCTCGGTGCCCTTGGAACCCACTATGGATGACTACTCAACATCATTCATCGATTTGTTGACTTGTACAAGTATTAGGAATTTCATTGCAAGCTGAGTAATTGACATATAAGAGGACTATATCTCCTGGCAATTTGAATGACTGTAACTATTAAGCAAAATCAATGTTTTTAGCATAATAGCAATGTTCCTAGTTATTAGGAAGTTGTGAGCCCTATGTAAGATCAAAATTAGTTACTCGTTATGACATTCAAAGATTAAGCATAAAGTTTCGGTATCGTATTGAAAGCTTTAAGTCATGGAAAAAGTGAAAATTGAATGCAAAATCTTTTGATTCTGTCTTTCATCTTTCCTATATTCATCAGCAAGTGTTCTGATATCATGCTTCTTTTTTTCTTCTGATCTTCATGGTAATTAAGTGATTCTCACGAAACCTGTGAGGCTGTGACACTTCTAATGATAATATTGTCTATCATATTGTGTTATCATTTTCAAGCTGTCTTTGAATTGAAAGATAGATCTCATCAGTCGAATTCCTTGGAGAGAGAACTACAAATTATTGTTTTGTTTTACATTGCATTGAATTTTTATTTTCGAGATAATTCAATTTATCAAGTAATCCATTCAGCTGATTTAGCACCTTTAAGGTGTCAGTCATCCCCTGCACTTCGGTCTGTCTATTACTTGTGCTGCTGAAAACCCTTTTCATTTTGCTGTTGAGCTCTCAACAAGCATAAACATGCTAACTAAATTCTCTCGATATATCTGCTATAGGTGTGGAAGTGCTTTCTGCTATGACTGTGGATCAACCCAAATGGATAGTCACCATTATTGCCATAAATGTAAACGTTAAAATTTCTCAGATGCATTTATCTGCTTCCTTCTGTATAGTAATTGTCTTGGCTATTAATTTTGCAAGACTGACATATACAACAATGATTTTCATTTCTTAATTATTAGGAAAGATGTTTCTTTTTCTTTTTCTTTTTCTTTTTTTTTAATTTTTGAACATTCAAAAAGAGTAGACACCATGATATTGGATGAAAATCATGGAATGGACATATTAGGTATACTGAATTACTGATTCAAATTTGGTCACTCAGATTCAGAAAGTGGTTTAATTTTTTATTGTCATTGTTAGATCAAGAATCTAGTATCCAATTTGATATAAAGGTATTAAGAGTGTAAACCACTTTTAAGTTCTGACAGTGTCTAACCTAGGACTGGATCCAAAAAAAAAAAGGTGGGTTCTTTAATTTGCTTAATCTCGTAAGCTTGACTACTATGCCAGAGGATCTCCAACATAGCATCCTGTCATATGCATTTCATAGTTGCCAGGATTTTAATCCCTAAGCTGATTTTGGAGCTTCTCCTCTATGAGGTGACTACTACCAAATGCATTGTCAATCCATATAATCACAGTATATTGCTTTTTTAGGGACTTTGCTATCTCATCAAAATTTGACAGTCTGTCTTTTGAGAGAATGGAATATGTCACTGTCCATTTTGTCAAGAAGAAATACAAAGAATATTGTATGTGTTTCAGCCATGTTTATTCAGTCAGGATGATGGGACTCTATACTCGTCTAAAATACGGATAACTTTTTCGAGTTTCCAAAGAACAAAGAATGTAGAATCTAGTATCCATTTTGATATGATGGGATTAAGACGGTAAATCTCTGGTGAGTTCTGGCAGAGTTTATCCTAGGAGCCAAAGAAAGAAGGCATTGCATAATTAGCTTAACATTGTAACCAGGTTATCATGCTGGAGGAAAGCCTACCTAGCATCCTGTCATTAGTGTTACATTGCTACATGGAATTCGCTGGCAAACACCTCCATCTTGGACATTCTCCTCTGTGAAGTTGGCTAGAACAGAAAACCAAAAATAGATCTATACAATAGTGACTCATGATCAATGCACAGCCAATCCTTATCACTGCAATATTATTCGTTTTTAAGGGACTTGGTATTTCACATCAAAACTGACAGACCAAAGTCATGAGAGAGAACAGAATTCGTTATGTCCATTCATCCAGAAGAAAAGCAAAGAATGTAGAATGTTCGACAGCCCTGTTTATCCAGTCAGGATGAGAGGACTTAATTGCTCATGCAAATTACAGAACTTGTTTAAAGTTCCAAGGAATCAGCAAACAGAGGAAGTATCTCATTTTTTGACAGAATTAACTTCCCCAACTTTTTGAATTAGCCTTAGCCTCATAGTGTGGCAAATTCATCACCTTGATGCCCCAAAAACTGTTCATTATGATGCCCTTCCCACTTATTCCACATGCAAAAAGAACCAGACCGATGCCCTCAAAGCCTGAAACAGACAAACACTTTAAAATTCCAAAACATCTATGGCAAAGTATTCGTTGGATTACTAATCATAAACCCTTTTTCCTTCTTGTTACTGTGCATCTGCCTTGCCCCAAAAATGATTAATTCTCCATGGGCTGTACAACTATTTTTGTCGTGATACGCTTGTAGCACGGCTTTTCATTGATGATGTTAACAACACATGGAAAGAAAGGATTAATAATTGATTCAAAGATAGCTAAGGTGAAATGATGTGCCTCTTAAGCTTTAGGCTTAAGCAGCAATCAAGCACTTCAACTATTGTTTTCGTACACACAAAATCAAAGTCCCAAACGCAGCAAATCCCATTAGCCTTATCTGGCCATTTGTCTGCTATATTTGACAAAAAGGAGTCTTTCAAGAAACCAATTAAACTTAAGGTTATATTTTTCTAAGAGATGACTAGGATTTAGAGGTTATTTCGTCATTAGTAGAGCCAGCCACTAAAATTCCAAACACCTTAACCTCTCCGCTTTTTTCGGGATGACGGAAATTTCTATTTGAAAAAATATATATGTGCTTTGCTTTGCCTCCGTGACGATTAATCCAATGAGATGGCTTATTTCAAGGCTAATTTCGTAAATTGATCAGCTCGCAACATGAGCTATCGTGACGGCATGTTGGACAGGGGAATGGAACGTTTTACCGTATTTAAAGGAAACAGGCTAAAGGGGAATGAAGGAGAGCGAAAAAGTAACGGAACGGACGAACGGACTAAATGGTGACGTGGACGAATCACAACCGTACACCACAAAAGAGGAAAACAAATAATAAAGATACGAGATCGAAAATGTGGAGAAAATAATAAAAGAAAAGAAAAGGAGCGGTTTCTACGTCAAAAGCTAAACTTCTTTTCTTTCTCCGTTGTCGTACAGCTGCTACACTCTCGCTTTTGGATTGTGCAGAGAAAGGAAGGAAAAAATGAAAATAATAGCTTCTGCTTACTACTGCTGACACTCACTTTCTTCGTAAGTCTCTTATTCTTTGATTTTTTTTTTTGTGATTTTGTTTTGTTCAAATATACACTCATAGTGTTCTTTTTGTGTGTTGTTGGGTTGTGAATTATGAGTATTATTGTTGTAACCAGGGTTTTGCTGAGAACCCAGTTTGCATGTTGGCGTTGGCTGTCTGAAAATGGTTGAATATAGTTTAGATGATGATATGAAGAGTTTTCATGACTGTGTATGAAGTTTTTGTGTGAAATTGAGTGATTGTTTTTGGCTAGGTAACTGATAATAGCTTGAGCTATATGAGATGGTGGATGGCTGACTTTGAGGTTTGCCAGGCTTTGTTTGCTTAAAGCTAATGCACTGGCTGTCTTTCTTTCTTTTTTTGTTGGAAAAGAACAAATTTGCTGTAAAAAGAAAAAAAAAAGAAATGAACTGTTGGAAATTGATGGAGTTCTTTACTTTAGTGTATTTCTTGGGTTATACTCGTAATCCCATAAAGTAAATGATCCCATGTAGTAACATCTATATATTCTCCATAAACTCAAACTTAGCGTCTCAAACTTTCTTTTAAAAGAAGGTACGTTTTGCTAACTCTAGCTCAACTGGTTGATTTGTTCTTGCTGAATGTTTTATGACCATGAAAACTTCTTATAGGAATATTGTGGATAGCTTAATGCCTATTAATCAATTATCATGATTATACTTTGTGTTCCTTTGGTTGCAATTCATTTTGTGCATTTCACTTCATTATTTTATCCTATGCAATGTGCTGTATATTGTACATTTTCCAAATGAATCCTCAACACTATTCAATGCTAAGGCCCTACTCTTTGCAAAGAGCATCATTACTTAAAGGTTATCTCATTAAAATCTTCTCCAGGCTAACTATTGAAGTACTTGAATATATAAAGAGCTCCGCAGTTTCTGCATCCTAATACACGGCAACAAAGAGGAAGTGAAATTCTCAGGAGTTCGCAGTTGAAGTTCTGAGCTTTTGAACAGTCATCTGTATATAGACGATGGATGACTATCTTGATCAGTATTTCTCTTCCTCATCATGGTCAGATGTGAATGTTAACGAAAGATCATCTTGGGTCCATTGTGAACCTGATCAGCCAAATGCACTGCTGCCTAGTTCAATAGGAGTATATCAAGATGATAAAACTAGTTCGCCTGTAAGAATGATTAGTTCGAACCACACCATGGGGTGCTTAGCTGCAAAACATAGTATTCCTAGTGGAGAGTCAGGTTGTGGTGTTGAACATGGTTTGCTGTCTGGGGAAGGTGAACCACAAATAGATGGTCAGAATTGCAGTAGTAACTCCACAAAAGAGATGCTGAATGGAAGCTTGGCGTTTGCAAATCTGGAATTGCAATTTAATACAGCTGTTCAGTCCTCTGGCTCACTCAGCCTTGGTTCGCCAAAGGATCTTTCAGTTGTTGGTGATATGACCCCATCTCTATCGTTTAATGAGAGAGGGCATGTAATATGCAATGAAGGTGAACCTTCTGAGTTTCGTAGATCACTTACAGGCTTGGAAACTCTTTCTCCAATTCCAAAATTATGGCATCCACAAGCTTATGACGGTGTTTCTTCCTTTCCTACTTTGATGGGACAAACCAGAATGCAAAGCTCTTGTCTTCAAGGAGAAAATGGAACTGTAGATAATGATGGCAATATTAACAGGTTTGTTGAGATTGATAAAATTCTGCAACCTGAGAACTTATCCGCATCAATTAGCGCAAAGGTATTAATTTCTTATGACTACTTTGTATGATTATTTAATTCTGCTGCTAGCTGCATGGGCTAGGAAACAACATCTGCTCTTCATGAAAGTGAATTCAACTGGCTTTTGGAGAACCCATTAATTGGATTCTCTGACTCCACCAAGGGTGCTGGAAAAGCAAAGCCAGCATTGCTTGAAATGGACTTTTAAATTTTGAATTCTCATTTGTTGCTTGCATAACGTATCAGGGAAAACAAGATATACAAAATTCTCTTTACTCTTCTTTTCCTGCCGAGCACCAGATAACAAAGACTATGATTGGCTTGCCATCTTTGCTGCAGGTACTCGTAATAGTCTTTATTTTCTCTGGACTTGATTCATGATCCCTAATTCTCATCATTTTTACTAGTACTGCCTGTTCAGCCTTTTATATACTGCTAGGGACCAAGCTTACTAGTTTTAGTACAGAGTGCATCACCTACTCCAAACAATGGTTGCAATGGAATTGGAAAGCCTCGGGTAAGAGCACGTCGAGGTCAGGCTACTGATCCACACAGCATTGCAGAAAGGGTCAGTTGTAATATTCCCCGGTCATCTAATTAGTCCATATTCTTGAATTGCTTTCGAGATTAGAGCTTGTTCTATCATTTGCTCAACTGCAGCTTCGAAGAGAGAAGATTGCTGAAAGGATGAAGAATCTGCAAGAGCTTGTACCTAATTCCAATAAGGTAATCTCTTCCGGATGCATTATGCAATTGTCATTGCAGCCTAATTGTAATACATTGGTTTTGTTTTTATATTACATGTCCTGGTTGTTTTACGGTCAACATTCTGGATGAGTGTTTGTGTTTGTTTACTGTTAAAAATTACGTAAGAATGTCTTGGCAAGAATATATGAAGACTGCATGCAGAATTTCTTCAGTTTCTATCGCCACTAAATTAACATAATGAGGTCAAGTAACATATGAAGGCTACTTTTATTTTAAAGGTAAGATGAAGATTGTTCTGTAGTTCTGGTGGAAAAGAGGATATCAAAGTTTCTTGTAAATCTTGCCTTTATGCAATCCTTGCCCTCAAGTGCACGCTGAATTGCCCATTAATATTACCGACTAATGATTATTCTTTGATGGAACTTTGCAGACCGACAAGGCATCTATGCTTGACGAAATCATAGACTATGTCAAATTTCTTCAACTCCAAGTCAAGGTGAGACTAATTTTTTGCTAAGATCACGCATTCAAATTTCATAAAGTTGAGCTCAAACTGACTTGGTTTTAAGTTCTATTTTTCCCCCGATGAATATATTTGACTTGACCAAGTTAGACAAGCAGTTGTTCCTGAAAATTATTTTTTAACAGCATTTCCATTACCGTCCGTAAACTTGGTGCTTCTGAAAATTATTTGCAGGTACTAAGCATGAGCAGGCTGGGGGCAGCAGGAGCAGTTGTTCCTCTTATCACTGATAGTCAAGCTGAGGTGCATAATTCTTGCTTCTTTAAGTCGATGCAAAGTTGGTCCCTTGTTGTGGGGTCAAGAAATTGGTTTTTCTACGTCCTTATGTTTAACTATTAAAATATGATTATTATATAGCTTAAAGGGGGTGAGCTGTGAGCATACCCCACCCAAATGCTGCCAGGTTTTGTTGTTATTAGTTGTGGGTCAAAAGTATCTTGGTATTAGGATAGCTCATAGGTCTTATCAATGGCTGCTGCTCTAGTAGCACTAAAACTAGAAATTTTCACCGTTATGGTGAGGTACGAGTAAATTTGCAAAGCAAACAAGGCTTCAGGGGCTGGACCATGTCACCTTTTCTTGTGTTAAGATTATATTAACTTAGAGATCATTTTATAATATTTTATATTTTTTTTAATCCTGAACATATGTATCATAAAGTTGAAAGTTGTATAGTCATTTACAATAACAGTTTGCTCAATTCTGTTATGCTAGGGATCTAATGGTTTATCACTTTCACCCTTGGCGGGTCAAGGAGTTGATTTTTCAGCATCTCCTGATCAAGTTGTTTTCGAACAAGAAGTAGTGAAGCTCATGGAATCCAATGTGACAATGGCCATGCAGTATCTGCAAAGTAAAGGTCTCTGCCTTATGCCGGTTGCACTCGCTAACGCCATATCCAATGGAAAGGCGTCGACATCGTCGTCGTCATCATCAGGTCCTGCTTCTGAAGAGAGGAAGAAATTTGGTTTAGCCAAAGGTCTAGTGAACAATGATATTGTTCACAACACCTGCAGCAGCAATGGTCTTGCTCAAAACTCCAACTGCAGCAGCAGCAGCAGTAGCAGTAGCAGCAGCAGCAGCAGCTTGCCTGGTGTTGGAATTCATTACCTGTCCTCCGATGGTAGTTTTATGATTGGAAAGCTCAGCAGTGGTCTCGTGGCCAATGGTTGCAATGGGTCGTTCAAACAAGAAGAAATGAACACTCTGTGCACTGCCAAATGACTGAATCCCAAACCGCAGAATTGAACACTAAATGTCAAATTCTGATTAACCAAGTAGATATAGGACTTATTTATGTCAAACTGCTGGAAGGCTTTCTTGGTTTCGTTTTGTGTTCTCTCCATTTGTTCTTTTTCTTTATGTTTTGCCTTTACTTTTTGCCCCTTGTCCCTTGGCAGGACAAGTAGTGTGGCGAAATTGTGTTTGCAAATATGTACATACGTACATATAATGCAGATCTCATTGGTGAATGCAAGAACATGCAACAGATTTATATTCAGTAAATAGTTCAGTTGAAAAAAATTTTCATCTTCTGTTGATACAAACCTTTCGCTTTACTGCAGAAATCCCATGCTCACTAATAAAGTTCCCCTCCAATTACCGCGAGCTAGCCAGGCCCAACGACGCCATCTGTTGCCATCTTCCCTAGATTGTGTGTTTCCAACCTGGTGTCGTCCCCGTGTTAGCCATCCCCCTGCCCGATAAGAAGTTCAAGCTGATAACAACATAGCTCCACCAGCTGAACCAACCTAGCGCCAATAAACGAACATTGCTTGAATGGAAGAAAGGCCCCAAAAAAGAAGCGAAGTTCTGATATCCCCCAGAAAAAGAATGCTGTATAAATAATCGTTGGAAAGGTGATTCGTAGAAGAGAACTGAATCGAAAGGGAATACACTCACCCATTTCATACTAGGACAAAACTACCTCATTAAATTAATTGAGTAAAATAGGAAAATATTCTACAGTTACTCTTCTTGATATCTGTTTTGCAGAATACAAAATATTGGGGAAAAATTGGGGGCCTCGTTAATGGCATGATCTATATATGAGAACAACAATGGGGATACAATACAATAATTACATTCCTAATACCGTGCCTTATCTTACGCATTATATTGAGGAAGAAAAAGAAAATTAAACTAAAAGAGACATATTTCTAGGTTGGGAAAAGAGAGGGAGGGTGTCGGAATCTAAAATGTGAGTCAAAGCTTGTTAATAACCATTCACAGTTTTCTGAGGTTTCTTCTTGAAATTTGAGATGCTGCAGTGCGGGCAAACGTACTCCAGCCCATCTGTTTTAGCATAATCCTGCAATTCATCAGATAAATATCAAGTTAATTTCAGTCCAACAAAACAGGTCAGCAATGCAAACACAACCAACGGAATCAGCTCAAAGTTACAAACAATGACACCATGAGTCCTGAATACAGATACAAAGAGATGTTTTCAATTTCACTTTAGCAAAGTTCGGCTGCTATCACCCGAAAAGATACAAAATATTACATATAGCTCTGTTACTGATGCTGCTTCTATTTATAAATCTCTTTAGCATATTCACATTCATCTCTGAGAAAGTAAAACTCTAGAAGATATACCTTGAAGGCTCCAAGCCCCTGCCGCCTATCACAGCCAAAGTGAGCCCACTCGCCACAAATTCCACAGTTTACCCAGTCACCTGCTGCGCTACTGTTGCCACACAAAAACTCCAATGTCAGTACTGCAAACAGTTCTATATATGCGCAAATTCACTGCGTACGTGTGCACACACAAGTGCATGAAAGAGAGAGAGAGAGACCTGTGACACAACAAGCAGCATTCGCCATCTACATCATCATGAGCCAATTCATACTCTAAAAGGTAAGTCTCATAGTGTCTTTTCAGTGTGTTGCCCACTCCCTAGGTAATTATTGGAAAAAAAATCAATTTTCCAGACATTAGAAACTTTCCATAATAACAAGCTAAAACTCAATAGAACGAAACAATATAATAAAGTGAAAAACATTCGTAAAATACAAATGTTTGTGATAAGTGGTTGCCAGAAGAACTTTCAGCCCAAGTCAATTTCAGACAGTGCAGTCAAGAAATATAAGCAGGACTACGTTTATTAAGAATAAAGAAACAGCATCAACATCAGCAAAAAAAATAAAAAGTCGAAAACACTTAAATGTCATTTGACGAACTTAACATTTTTAGTGAACCTCTACAAAAAATTGTAAACTATAAGGCTAACAGCTTGAAAACATACAGTCATTCTATTTGTCATTGTGTGATTGCGCATCTTTGAGAACACTTGTCCCTTCCAATTGATGCCATTTCCAACATGAAAGCCTCCTCTTGATACCACCTGTACGGTCCAATCTTTCAGTACAAACCTTTTGCCAGATTTTCAATCATATTTAGCACAAAGAATACCTTACCTCTCTGTACAAGTTAAATAGGTCAAGTCGCTTAGCATTCAGAATGGCATCAGGAAACTCAGCTAACCCACCTTGAGGAACAAGACGAGTATGTCCTCGAAGAATCAAAAACTGCATTACATCTCTCAAAAATTCTTCCTGCCAGAAAAGAAACCAACAGGCGAAAAAAGAATAGATGAACAAACTTGACAGACATGCTTAAGTAAGCAAGCTTCAACAGTTACTTCTCTGGTTGGGTCATAAGATTGACCCAAACGCCTATATTTGTTAGTGATGAAAAAGAAAAGCAGATCAACAGAGAGGTATAACAGAGAAGAAAACTACAATTTTTTTAAAACTTTTTTTCTCTCTCATAAACATAAACCATTAAGCATAAATGATTAGCACATACAAATATCATTATAAAATGGAGAAGTTTGAATATAATGCAAAAATAAACGTATAATTTCCCTCATCTTCTGCACCATGACACGCAATATAGGCTTTATTTAACACATTTTTCTTAATTCCTGAGGCATGCATGGGGTTTTATTCTAACATCAGAGGATAACACTATGCCATTTCCAATCCAGGGAATCATAGGCCCCTATCAGCTATGGTGGAGAAAAAAATGTAAAGTTAGATAAGGATATCCATATAGGCACCTGTATTTCCGAAAAACAGATCATAAGCCCGATCTGTACTATGTAAATAAACTCCACATGCAGACAGACACGATATTGGCAAATTCTTAAACCCAAACTTCGAGAAGATAAGTAGATGACTAACCTCTGAGCAAACCTGTATTGGGGCTCTACCACAACCATGTTTCTTAAGAGGTAATGGATTTAAAGAAATAATCTGCTGGGCCTGATAAGAACTTGACAATGCTTTCCGATGTGTAACAGGAGCAGGCTGCTTCACAGGAACTACTGGCAAGTTTGCCTTCCCTTGGTCACCATCATATCTGTCAGCCTCAGAAAATCCAGAAAAGGGAATAATCTTATGACGATGGGTGTGAGGAATTGGCCTCATAGCAGCAACATTTGGTTTCGGTCTAGCAATACCATTTTCACCTTCCATGCCAGCACAGTTCAGAGGTTTAGTGTCTTTACAAGGCTCTGATCTTTTACGACTAGGTGCTGGAGGGACCAACCAACTGGGAGATCTGGTAATTACAGAACTATCCTGGAGGGGATCTTTATCCTGCCTCGTACAAAAGAAAAGCAGGCGTTCAGCATCATCTGTTTCAAAAGAAGCAACCGACAACCCTTGAATGCTAGCAATCCCCAGCATAACTAAGCTGCGGTAGGATACATCTGGTGCAAGTTGCCTCAAAACCTGTTAAGCCATTCCGAGAAACAGATCATGATTAGAAAAAGAAAGAAAGAAAATCAAGCTAACTCAAACAGGATTACCTCATGGAAAAGGCTTTATAAGCATTTCTCAAAACATAATTCAGTAAAAGTTTTTCATCAAATATTTATTCATGCCTTTACTTAAATTTATGGTAAAAAAAAAAAGAACATTTAGAAGAGTTTACACAAATACCCATAATTACACTGCAACAGGCATAATTGAAACATACAGACACATGCATAGAGAAATAGAAAAGTTTCAGAGAAAGACTAAAATGGTTAAAAGAAAATCAGACCTGTGAAGCCCATGTGGGAACCCTCATGCAGACTTCAAACACACTTGCTCCACAGGCAATTGAGGCTGATCTACGAGGCTCAGATGAAGGCAATTTGCTTTCCTCAGAACTTGACTGTGCATGGACTAGCTGACTCTTCTCGATTATCTCATTCTTTATATGATTTTCCAAAAGCTGAGGCAACAACAAGGAACAAGAAAACAATAGTTTCAAGGTGTGAACTCAAAGTAACAACACTAGCAATTAACTCACTCAAAATTACTTGCCTGATCATTAAAACAAGTCTGTGCGCTACCAGACACCAAAAGTGATATGTGAGCAGAACTACAGGTCGAAAAATCACAACGCATGGTCACTACACCACGAGAAAATGTCCCTGCCTGAAGAGGTGGTGGTGGTGCACTACAAGAATAAATATCATTAGTATGTTGATAATAATGAAAAAAAGAAACTTGGAGGTAGCAGTAGTGTGGGGAACGGGAACTCCGTAAGACAAAGGATCTAAGTCAAAATTCTCAACCTCAAAATTGGAAAAAAACAAGAAATCCCCAATCCCCCAAAAGAAACAACTTATCAATACCTTGCTCGATTATGGAGTTTGCTCCCGCGTACCTAAAATAAATGCCACAGTGAATCTAGTTAATAAGTCGATAAAACAGATTCAAATTATTAGCGCAAATGATGCTCACAAAAACACACACACACACAAACATATATTTATCATCATGCCAATATATTATGCTGTTCTCCCATGTGAGTATGAACATCAAACAAATTGAATATATGCATGGATTATCATGTCATTAGGCCCTATTAAAGCCACTGCACATGCATCCTTTATGCAGAAAAATTCGAGGGCATGTGCAGAACAATATTGATCTCATTCATAAATTTTTCTTTTGCCATTTTGGTAATCAAGGTGATGATGATGTGTGCACCCTTGCTAATTGGTGTTAATACTTTTATTTCAGCACGCTGATCTTTCCATGGTAAACAGAATTTGCATATGAGAGAATGCCAACACCCTAATGTAAATTTCCAAATTGTTGTTTTCTAATATGCATTTCCCATACATCCACACCAGACTTGTCACACTGGAAATCATAATTCTCACTGTGCTGTTCAGAAACACTGTATGTTGAACCTAAATCTAATTGAATTATCATTTGAAACTTTAGAAAGAGAGGATGGAGATATGTAACTTTTTAGGCAAAAGGGAGGGAAGGATGGAGGATCTTGTGCTGTCATCAGGCATTAAAAACTCACCCAGGGCTACTCTAACCAAATTGAGA